GGGAACCAGCAGTTAGTGTAATGGCCATGTCGCTGGACTCCCACGTAGTCAACCGCAGTTCGCATCCCGGACCCGGTGGCTTAAAACTCACGCCGGGCGCATGTGCGTGTGTGCCCAAGATCCCGAGAGGAGAATGGAGGAGAAGGGACTGCGGCGTGACCATCCCCTCTGGGGGTGATTTCTCGCTTTCTGTCTCTCTGTCTCTCTCTGTCTGTCTGGTGAGCACACGCGCCCTATAGCGAAAATCTCTCTAAAAAAAAAAAAAGAATGGGAAACGCGACACACTGCTGTTGCTAGCAGCCCACCGATCGCCACCAGAGAACAGCGCAATGTCTGTCAGCAGAGGAATGAAGAAGCAAACCCGGGACATCCAGCTACCAGGCTCCTGCTCAGCCATAGAAAGTGCTGGAACCTGTGCACCATGGGCGAACCTGCGGACGAAGCAGCAGGCGCGAAGGAGGATGCACGGCCTGACTCCTCCGACGGATATTCCGAGACAGAAAGCAGATCTGGTTTCCAGGGCTCAGGGACAGGGTGGAAGGACGGGCCTCCCTGCGAGGCGCGGGTCTCCTTGGAGGTGATGGAAATGTTTTAGGACCAGGGACAGGCAGTGGCTGAACAAGAGCACGAATGTGCTGAAGGCTGCTGGACGGTACACTTAAACGGCTCTTCATGCTGAGGGAACTGTACCTCGACTTTAGAGAAGTTTAGAAATTGTGTGTGTAGAAAAATATGTTAAAATCTCTAAAAATAACAATCAAATATAGATTCCTATAATGTCAACACAACACATAAAAGCGCAAGCACAGTGGGGCGCATGTTAAAGTAACCAAATTTAAAAATTAAGCCAGCCGATGGGACCAGCAGTTAGCGTAATGGCTGTCACTGGACTCCCATGTAGTCAACCGTGGTTCAAGTCCCAGACCCGGTGGCTTAAACTCATGCCAGGCACGTGTGCATGCATGCCCAAGATCCCAAGAGGAGAATGGAGGAGAAGGGATTGCGGCGTGGCCATCCCCCCTGGGGGGTGATTTCTTGCTTTCTGTCTCTCTGTCTCTCCCTGTCTTTCTGGTGAGCGCACACACCCTATAGCAAAAAACTATCCACACCCCACCCCACCCCACCCCACCCCCCCAAAAAAAACCCAAAACAACCAAGCCAGCTGCACTAGCGGCTCAGCTCTCTGCAGGGAAATTACTGGAAGTTGCTCAGTCTCTCCCCGCAGCTCCGGGCCAGTCTCAGGAGGACCCTGGTGGGAGGGATGAGCACGCCGTCCCTGCCTCGGGGCCCACTCCCACGAAGCGCACCCACACACGCTGTGACCTTTCTGTCCTGCCAGACTGGCTCACTTCTCCCAAGGCCCAGGGAGTCCCGAGTCACTAGCCAGGCCCCAGGATGGAGCCCCACCTCCCAAGCTCTGCCTGGCTCTCCAGCTGGTTCTGTCACCCCTCCCTGGATGGAGGGTCCCTGGGAGTCTCCTGTCCCCCACTGGACAGGCGTGGGAGAGCGCGTCAGCAATGTGAGATCTGTCCAGAAGGGACCTGCACAGTGCAATGGGGAGAAGCCAGACTGCGGGACAGAAAGGTGTGGGTCAAACCTCCGTCCTCCACTTCCTGGCTCTGTGACCTTGGACCCCTGCTTTTTCCTCTTTGGACCTCAGTTCCCTGAGGAGAGAAAGTGGAGACATCACATGAGAGACTGGCATCTCCCAGTAAATCCGCACTTCGGGGCCAGCAGGGGCGTAGAGGTTAACGTGCTGGATTTCCACATGGTCGACTGGTTTGAGTCCCAGACCTGGCGACTTGCTTTCTCACTTTCTCTCTCTGGTGAGTGAATATGCCTATAGCAAATTAATAACAATAATAATAAACTAATTAATATGCCTACAGCAAATTAATAACAATAATAATAAACTAATTAAATAAATAAAAAATTTTAAAAACTTTATTGATAGAAACAGATGGGGGCCAGTCGGAGGTGTGGGGTTACAGCCGTCAGACCCCACATGGACCTGTGGTTTATGTCCTGACCCCAGCAAAAATATTATCCTTGAAAAGTACGCCAGGTGTGTGCGAGTGCCTAAACCCAGAGAGGCACGGAGAACGGACTGCAGCTTGGCCATCCTCCCAGGGGATGATTTCTCACCTCCCTGGCCCCACTGCTCCCTCCGGACAGCACACACATGCCCGATAGCAAATTTTAAAAAGAATGGGGGGGAGAAAACATTGACTTCATCCAACAGGGAGTAAGTGGACTGGGGAGTTTCCAGAAGCTGGCTGGTTCGGGAAGAGGTGACCGGAGGGCCGAGGGAAGCACAGGTCTTTGGAGCAAAGGAGTGGTTGCCTACCTTTCCCGGCTGCCCTCGGGGGTCATGCTGCCCGGCTGCCAGGGAGAGGCCATCGGGCCACCTCCTGAGGACCTGGCAGTTTAGAACAGACCTGTCGGCCAGTGTTGGGACCGTCTTTGCAAACACAGATGCCCCAGAGTCTCCAACTGCAAGGTCTTTGAGGCCATGGGCTGTGCCCCCACTGTCTCCAGCACTCACACAAGCCCGAGCACATCGTAGGCTCAGTGTTGTTGTTTTTTTAATTATTTAATGGGGCCAGCAGGTGGCATGGTGGTTAAGGTGCTGGATTACCACATGGTTGGCCATGGCTGGAGTCCTGGACTGAGTGACTTGAAAATTGTGACAAATAAATACATAAATAAATGCTTTAAATTATTTATTATTTCTTTTATAATTGGCTGTAGGGCATGTGTGCTCACCAGAGAGAGACACAGAGAGAGAAGGTAAGTGAAAAAGCAAGCTTCCAGCTTTGGGACTCAAACCACAGTCTGCCACTTAGGAGTCCAGCACCTTAACCATGACACCACCTGCTGGCCCCAGAAGGCTGATTATTTACAGGCTTCACGGTGGTGTGAAGGGGGGTCATGGACAGGTGAGACTGGGGTGCCCTGACCTTCCCTGGGAGGCGGGCACGGCTCTGGAAACCTGCCAAAGGCCCGTTAGTCTCCCAGGCTGTGGCTGCGACGCCCTGGCAGTGGAGAGGTGGGTGTGCCTCGGTGACCTGCCATCCATGAAGGGACGCGGCGTCCACCCCAGGGAGGCAGTGCGCCATGTCCTCCCCTGGCATCCTTGAGGCAGGGGGGCAGCCTGGGCTCCAGCTCAGCACCCCTCTGTCTCCTGTCCCACCCTGACCTGACACCTGGTTCAAAATTCTGACTCCTAATTCCAGCAAATTTGAGAGGCCACTCCATGGCTTAGTGGTTAAGGGAGCCAACTCCCATGCGGCTGACGGTGGCTCAAATCCCAGCCCTGGCAGCTTGGAAAACACACCAGGCATGTGTGCCCCAAATCCCGGCAGGATGGAGAAGCGGAGAAGGGACTGAGGTGTGGCCGTGCCCACTGGGGGTACTTCCACCTGCTGCCCAGATCTCTCCCGTCTGTCTCTGGTGAGTCCATAAGCCCTCTGGGGGTACTTCCACCTGCTGCCCAGATCTCTCCCGTCTGTCTCTGGTGAGTCCATGAGCCCTCTGGGGGTACTTCCACCTGCTGCCCAGATCTCTCCCGTCTGTCTCTGGTGAGTCCATAAGCCCTCTGGGGGTACTTCCACCTGCTGCCTAGATCTCTCCTGTCTGTCTCTGGTGAGTCCATGAGCCCACTGGGGGTACTTCCACCTGCTGCCCAGATCTCTCCCGTCTGTCTCTGGTGAGTCCATGAGCCCTCTGGGGGTACTTCCACCTGCTGCCCAGATCTCTCCCGTCTGTCTCTGGTGAGTTCATGAGCCCTCTGGGGGTACTTCCACCTGCTGCCCAGATCTCTCCTGTCTGTCTCTGGTGAGTCCATGAGCCCTCTGGGAGTTTTTGTAAAAAAGGAATTTGGATGACATTACTCTGATATTTAAATCTCTTCTTCGGCCCTCAGTTGTATGTTTTAAAATGGACCTGTGTGCATATATGTAATATGTAAATTGCACATGCATACACACTTGGAGTTTTCCAAAAGTTTGTGGGAAGTGTGTAATATATAAAAACTATGACAGAGGCTGGCAGGTGGCACGGCGGCTGGGGCACTGGACTCCCACATGGCGACTGCAGTTCGAGTCCCAGACTCGGTGGCTTGCTTTCTCGCTCTGTCTCTATCTGATCAAATTAAAGAATAATCATATTAAATTAAATCAATAATTATTTAAAAAATAAAATAAAAACTATGATGATTTCAAAACAAACCAGTATCTTAGTCTCGTTTTCCACGAGCTTTCTGAAGTCTCCACGTACGTGATACATGTGTTTACATTTACATGTACCTATGCACAGGTGGAATGCCAGATCACACAGGAGGTGCTGAAGCCGCAGGGATGCTGGGTCACCTGCTCCCCCACAGTCCCGTTCTGTGTTCAGTGGATCGTGTCCCCACCGGGGGATGTTGCGGGGCCATCGCTGCCGTGAGGTGAGCCCTGAGGCTGGCACTTGGCAAATCTCGCCCTCTGTTATGAGCACTTCGCTTCCAAGTGAACTTCAGAAGCTGTTTCACAAGTTCCATGAAATACCCTATTCAAAATCCCACTGGGGGGACCGGCAGGTGGCATGGTGGTTAAGGTGCTGGACACTCCCACATGGCTGACCATGGTTCAAGTCCTGAACCTGGTGGCTTGCTTTCTCGCTTTCCCTCTCTCTCTGTCTCTGTCTCTCTCTCTGGTCAAATAAATATAAGTTAATGAATAAATAAAATTAAGAAATTCTTTTAAAAAAAAAAAAACCCACTGTGGGGCCAGCAGATGACATGGTTAAGGCGGCAGGATCCCACAAGCTGACTGTATGGTTTGGGACCCAGTGGCTTGAAAGTCGCATTGGGCCTGTGTGTGTGTGTGTGTGTGCGCCCAAAATCCCAAGAGGAAAATGGAGGAGAGGGGATAGTGGTGTGGTCACCCCGTGAGAGTGATTTCTCACTATCCCTCTCTCTCTGGTAAGCGCACTGGCCCTATAACAAAACCCAAACAAACAAAACAAGAACAGCAATAACCCCGCTGAGATGTGTCTTCTTTCCATTTGTATCTTATTTTTATTTATTTTTAAAATTTGACCAGAGAAAGAGAGGAAAAGTTAGAAAGCAAGCCAGCAGGTCCGGGACTAGAACTGTGACCAGCCATGTGGGAATCCAGTGTCTTAATCACCACGCCACCTGCTGGCCTTGGAATATGTCTTTTATTACTCTTTCTTTACAGCCATGAGCTAGGTCTTGCTGCTTCACAAAGTCGTCCATCACAACCTGATTAAAGAGAGAAGGCTCTCTGACATGAGGCCTCTCGCAGACCCGCTAGCACCGGCAAGCATATTCAGAAGGAAGTCTCGATGCGTGCGTCAGCATGTGACGGTGTGAGCAGTGACACCAGGCGACACGTGTGCTGGACTAGACCACGCTATGGACAGTGTGCATAACTTGGTGCTGAAGCAGACAGTAGTAGGAGTCCATCACAGCTGCGTTTTGTCACACTGTGGTTTATCCGACTATAAATGCAAGAGAACGGCTAGATCAAGGACCCGTCATGACTGTCATGTGGCATGCACGCACATGCGGCGTTTTCACTCCACCCATATGGTCGGCCACGTGGGGTCCAGGGCCTTAACCGCTATGCCACCTGTTAGTCCCTTATTATTATTTTTTTAAGTATGATTTCTCTTTGGGGTCAGAAGGGGGCGTGGTAGCTAAGGTGCTGGACTCCCACATGGCCAACCACAGCTCAAGTCCCAGACCTGGTGGCTTACTTTCTCAGTTTTCCTCTCTTTCTCTCTGTTTCTCTCTGGTGAGTACAGCTATCCTATAGCAAATTAACAATAATGATAAATAAAATTAAATAAATAACTTTAAGATATATACATACGCTCACTCTTTGGTGTATCAGCCAGGAAAATGTTTTCTTGTTTGAACCATGGATGCGCTAATGCCGGACCAGGCCGCGGAGCCACGGAGTGACAGAGGGCGTTTGCTGCCATCTCCTGGTCAGTCGCTGTAACAGTGAGGAACTAGCTCTAACAACGGGGCACGATCTTAATTCTTTTTTCTACAGGTGCACACAGTGGCTGGAGACAGAGAAACTGAGAAATCAGTCCCAGGGGGAGACCATGTCGCAATCCCTTCCCCTCCAGCCTCCTCTTGGTATTCTAGGCATGCACACACATGCTAGGTGTGTTTTTCAAGCAGCCAGGTCCGGGACTCGAACTGTGCAGTCAGCCATGTGGGATCCAGCACCTTAACCACCTGCTGGCCCCCAATTTAGAAGTTTTACATTTTCAAAATAAGCGAGATGGGACCGACGCCAGCGGCACCGGCCCGGACAGTCACTGCTGCAGCCTGACTCCCATTCTCCTCACTCCTCAGACCTGAAGCTTTTCACCGTAGCAAACATGCTTTGCTTTTCTTTTTCTTCTTTTTCTTTTTTTAAGAGAGGTTTTTGCTATAGGGCACATGCACTCGCCGGAGAGACGGAGAGACAGAAAGACAGAAAGCGAGAAATCACCCGGCTCCTAGATGAGACGGCCATGCGCAATCCCTCCTCCATTCTCTCAGGATCTCCGCACGCACGCACACCTGCTTTCTCACTTTCCCTCTCACTGTCCCTCCCTGGTCAAATGTAATAAATAAATAAATAAAGCTAACTGTAATACTTCTTTTTGTTTTTCAGGTAAACTGGTCGTCCGTTCTCAGGGGCACACTTGCCCCGTTTCCGGCGAGTACGTGGAGCCGCGCGGGGGCGGCCGGCCGGCGGGAGCGCTCTTCTTCCGCTCGATGTCGAAGTCCCACTTGGCGGAGCGGCCCTGGGTGGGGCTGACCTTCCTGCCCTGCGTCCTCTCGGCCTGCATGGCCACCCAGCCCTCGTGGAAGGTGTGCGGGACAGGGCCGTACACACAGCGCTCCTCGCAGACCAGAGCCAGCGCGGTGAGGCCGGTGACGGCGCCCACCACCGCCTTGCTCACTCGTGCCGTCCACCTGGGCGAGGCCCTGGGGAACTCAGTGCGGCACGACTGGACGTTCCCGCCCCGGCCGGTGCTGCAGGCCTTCTGGCTGGCAGACAGGTGCTGGACGTGGCCACATCGGGCAGGCAGTCGCGGCGGTCGACGTGGCTGGGGAGGGCATCCGTGTGCTCGTCTGCCAGTTAGGCTAAACACCCCGGTAGCCGACATCCTGCCCCCCGGGTCATTCTTTAGGAAACACCGTACCCCACAGACGTGCACAGCTGTGGCGGTTTGAAATGGTCAGTGACCGAATGACTGAGGACAATGCTCTCCAGTCGGGCACGTCCGTGACTGCTCTCCTTACTCTTCATTCCTACTTTTTTTTTTTGGGGGGGGGAGATGTTTTACTATAGGGCATAAGCTCACTGGAGAGACAGAAACAGAGACAGAAAGCGAGAAATCACCCCTGGGGGGGGACGGCCACACCATAACCCTTCCCCTTCATGATTGTCTCAGGATCTTGGGCACGCACGCACAGGCGCCCGGTGTGAGTTTAAGTCACCGGGTCTGACCCTTGAACTGCAGTTGACCAAACGGGAGTCCACCTCCTTAACGACTATGCCACCTGACATACAAGTTCCGTGCAGACACTTGGGGAAGCTATGGAAAACTATGGCTGGATCCAGACTGTACTCGGTTGCTGTGTGTAAAACGAAGCTGGGCCCCACGTGGCCCATCGCATACCTCGTGTCTGTGCTGCAGGGCTCGAGAAACACGCCTGGCACATGTGTGTGTGTGCGCCCCAACCCCCAACAGGATAGAGAAATAGAGACCGGACTGTGGGTGACCACGCCCCATTGGGGTGCGTTCTCCGCCTGTGTGGTGAGTACACGCGCCCTCTGGCAATGGGAAAACAGACACTCATCAGACAAAAGGAGTGCAGGGGAGGGGCGGCCGGTGCCATGCTGGCTAGCACGCTGGACTCCTGCATGGCCACTTGCAGTTGGCTCCCGGACCTGGCGGCCTGCTTTCTCACCTTCTGTCTCCCTCTAGTGAGTGTACATGTCCTATAGCGCATTAAATAACAATAATTAATAAAAGTAAACAAATAGCTCTTATACAGCAAAGAATACGGTGGTGACAGACGCGACCATCTGGCCCCTTCACCATTCGCGTGGGCGTACTGTTTCTGGGAAGGGTGAGTGCGGGGGTGACAGCCACTCGAGCAGCCGGGCACCGCACTGGGCAATCAGGACACCGATGTCCAAGCCCATGGGGAGTTTTCCGAGCTCCCAGCGTGAGGGCCACACCCTAGAAAGAGCAGCCCTTTGCCTTGGTGTGGCCCTGTGTGCTTCTTTCCCCAACTCTTGTTTTCTCACCCCACCCCCTTGCCTCTGTCTGGTGAGCATGGTGTACCCTATAGCAAGTTAAATAATAAATAAACTTAATTATTTTCTCAAAAATAAAGCCGAGTTTATTTTAAAATGCAGATTCCATGCCCTATGCTAGACCTAGGAAATCAGAAACTGAGTTTGGGGCCCACCAATTCGGGGTCTAGCAAAGCCTTTAGAGATGGTGACATCACTCAGCTGAGACCAGCTCCGCATCGGAGACCTGACGCCGTGGAGTTCCCCGGGCAAAGCAGGGCTTTTGTGGGTTGCCAATATACTGGCTGTCGGAAACGACCTGGCGTGTTTTCCTGTTTTTCTAGGCAAAAACGTGTCATGACTTTCCCAACACGATAGTACATGACCATGCAGGAGGGGGCAGCGAGACGAAAACGAGGCAGAGGCTGCAGGTCATGCCACTGCTGCGTGCGGCTGCCCCGTGGACACAAGCCATCCTGCACTCGTTCAAAACACGCAGCACACGCCGCAGCCCAGCGGGCCCACGGGCTCTGGAGACAGTGACGGGTCAATGCACTCCACAGCGCCCAACGGACTGCTCTGGGGCCAGAGCAGTGGCCAGCAAGGCTGCGGGTGCGCGAGGCGGAGCGGGTGGAATCCGGGTGCGTGAGGCGGAGCGGGTGGAATCCGGGTGCACAGGGTGGGGCGGGTGGAATCCGCGGCGGAGCGGGTGGAAGCCGGGTGCGCGAGGCGGGGCGGGTGGAATCCGGGTGCGCGAGGCGGAGCGGGTGGAATCCGGACTTCCGCTCAGTTTTGCTGTCAATCTCGAACACCTCTAAAAAACTATTTTTATTTTTAAAAAGACTTGATAGAGTTGAATTTCAAAGAAACTCTACATGATCTGGGGGCTGCCCAGGTGACTTGGTGTTTAGAGTGGCTGAATCCCATGTGGCCGACTCAACTACATGGTTCGAGTCCCAGACCCGGCAGTTTAAAATATCTGCCAAACTAGAGCCAGAAGACAGTACTGTTAAGGCACTGGACTCCCACGTGGACAACTCTGGTTTGAGTCCCAGACCTGGTGGCTTGTTTTCTCACTTTCGCTCTCTCTCTGGTGAGTACATGTGTCCTATGGTGTGGATATATATTTTTAAACTTTATTTACTTATTTTAATTTGACCAGAGAGGAATAGATAAAGTGAGAAAGCAAGCCGCCAGGTCCAGGACTTGAACCACTGTCAGCTATGTGGGAGCCCAAAGCCCTTAACCACCATACCACCTGCCAGCCCCACCCTATATTAAAAAATGATAATTAATAAATAATCCTTTTTTAAAAAATAGAGAAGAAAAACATGCTAGGCACAGGTGTGGGCATGCCCAGAATCCTGACAGAATGGAGAACAGACTGGTGTGGCCATCCCTCCTGGGGGTGAGTTTTTCACTTTCTCCCCCCCCCATGAGCAAACACGGCCTATAGCAAATTTAAAAAGAAAAAAAAAGAACATACAACTTAGAGCGTACATCAAACAGAACAAAGTTTATTCGGATCCTGCAGGGCAATGGCAGTCCACCGTGCGCCAGAGACCCTGGTAAGTGCTGTGTGCCATACTTTCTTCCGTGAGGTAGGTGACCACTGCCAACTTCCTTCGGGGGCAGATGCGGGTCTCGGCAGTGTCAGGCGGAATCCGTTTTCAAGTGCATCTTCAGGTGGCGTCTGAAAGTGCCCAGCTGGCGGAAGGCGCCGTTGCACCTGGGGCACACGTAGGGCTTGGTCCCCGTGTGGATGCGGAGGTGCACGTTGAGGTTCCCCTTGTGGCTGAACCGTTTGTTGCAGTCTGTGCATTCGTACGGCTTCTCCTGCGTGTGGACCCTCTGGTGGCCCTGCAGGGTGGACTCGTGGGTGAAGTGCTTGTGGCAGAGGTTGCAGCGGTAGGGCTTCTCGCCGGTGTGGATGCGCTGGTGGACGCGGAGGTCAGAGGGCTGGATGAAGCCCTTCCCACAGAAGTCGCAGCGGTAGGGCCTCTCCCCCGTGTGCGTTCTCTGGTGGATGACAAACTGGGACCGGAAGTGGAACACTTTCATGCACACCAGACACGTATGCAGTGGCGGCCCTAGGACCTGGTGGCCAGTGGAGTGACCAGCTGGTCCTGCAGCGCTGGGTGAACCGGCTGAATTTAATGCCAGGGGTTCTGCGAGTGCTCTGGTGGCCAAATATGTGGCTCCTGGAGACTCCCCTCGGGACACGGAGGTGGGGCCGGATTTCCTTCTCTTGGACCGCCTCAGACCCTGAGCGTCTCCTCCGTCTGACTTCCATGTTGGAATCTCTCCCTCTGAAGCACAGCTGGGAAGGGGGGAGCTGCTGACGGTTTGAAGAGAAGGTTCTACTTTGGGCTTCTTCCCATCCTCAGTCCTCGCCAGATCTGGAAGAAGGGATTCCACGGGCCTTGATACCAGCCCCACAAAACCAGGCACTGGCAGGAGCCAGAACTGCCTGTCCACCACACAGGCCACGAGGCAGGATTGCAGGACGCCGGGCAGTCAGTGACGGAGGGGGCTGGCGAGCGAGAGCTCACTGCCCCAGGGAGGGTCCTGCTCGACATGCCACGGGAGGCGGTGCCACCGTCCTCGGGTTCCCCTCCACACTCACCAGGCCCCCACGGATGCTGGAGCTGCTGCTGTGTAAGTCCTGTGGACTCATCCGTGTCTCCCATCATCTCACACTGCTGGCGCTGCTGTGGCCCCAGACCCGCCGCGTCCCCTTCTGCAGGAACGGTCCCCGGGAGGGCTTCTTCCTGATGGCAGAAACTAAGTGCCGTTACCGCCCTGTCCCTCACCCGATACACTTGCTTCTCCAGCGACACACCTTGGGAGCCATTCCCAGGCTCTCTACAGCCACCCATCAACCGGGAATCATCGTTACCGGTTTCCAATGCTGCCATTCATCTGCACCCGCCCCGCCTCTAGGTCGACACCCAGACTTGGTATTAACTAACTCTCCTCAGTCCGTCCGTCTTTCCCTGTCCTTCCCTATAGAGGCAAAGGACTCAGAGTTCGGACCCCGACCTGGGCAGCTCTGACTGCGGTCGGATGCTCCCAGCCAGGGACGCGGCTGGGCACTGCAGAGTGCGGAGCAGCTGCCCTGGTCTCCACCCCGGGTGCTCGCTCTGGGGCCTGTGCACACTGTCACCACCTCCTCCACCTAGAAGGACATTCGAAGAAGTCTCCAGAGGGGCCAGCAGGTGGTATAAGTTAAGGCACTGGGTCCCACATGGCCAGCGGCACCGGTCTGGGTCCGGATCCAGCAGCTGGAGTATCACACCGGGAGTGTGTGTGTGAGTGTTCCCCAAGTCCTGAGAGGACACTGGGTAAGGGATTGCAGTATGGCCATTCTCCTGGGGCTGATTTCTTACTTTCCGTGTTTCTCTGTCTCTCTGGTAAACGCATGCACCCTCGTGCATAAACTAAAAACTAAATAAAATAAAGTAAAATAAAGTCTCTAGGACCACCGATGTGGTGGTTGAAGTGCTGGATCCCGCATGACTGACTTCATGGTTTGAGTCCAGACCTGGTGGCGTGCAAAACACTCGAGACACATGTGTGTGCATGCCCCAAATCCTGCGAGAACGGGAGAATGGATTGCAGCACGGCCATCACCCCTGGGGGGAGGAGGGATTTCTTACTTTCCCTCTGTCTCTCTCCAACAAGCAAACAAATGAAAAAAGCGAAACCATCTTCAGGCAACGCCAAATACCTCCTAGGAGGTAAACTCAGCCCATCTGAGAATCACTCCTTTAATTAAACCACTGACTTTCTTTTTCTTTCTTCCTGTTTCTTTTGTTTGTTTGTTTGTTTGAGAGAGATTTTTTGCTATAGGGCGTGTATGCTTATGCGAGAGACAGAAACAGAGAAACAGAAAGTGAGAAATCACCCCCCGGGGGAATGGCAATCCCTTCTCCATTCTCCTCTGGGGATTTTAGGCATGCACGTACACGCACCCAATGTGAGTTTTAAGCCACCAGGACCAGGATTCAAACTGTGGTTGACCATGTGGAAGTCCAATGCCTTAACGACTATCCCAGCTGCTGGCCTAAGTCTTTGACAATTTTTTAAAAATTGGTCTTTGGCTGATTATCTCATGAAATGTCTTTGAAAAACTGACTACGGGGAAATGGGCAGGGTTTGCTCCCTGCGCCTGGCCCTCCTGTGAGACAGCTGCCTCCTCGCTGGGCACGCCAGGAGCTTCACACGGGCACGCCAGCAGTCCGAAGGGCCAGAAATGGGCCCGGTTCTGCCCCCAACACCACATCTCCCCGCGAATACCGTAGCGAGGCTGTTCCCTCGGGTACTGCCCACACACTCACCTGCCACCCTGACAGGTCCCTGGTCCCTGGCAGTTCCCGCAGCTCAGGTTTCACCGCGCTCGCGGAGGACTGGCACTTGCTGGTCAAGTCTATCACGCCGTCCAGGTCACTGGTCATGGCTCCAGTCATCTGACCCTCTGAATTCTGCACCAGATACTCCTGCCCGTCTAAGGTGACTATAGACTAGAGGGGACACGACCAGACTCTGGGTAAGAACCAGTGCAGCTCTCACTCTCGCTCTCGCCCTCGCCATGCGTGTCCACAGTGTTCCGCCAGACGGCCGGGACGTGCACACTGCCCTCCTGGACTCAGAATCGGCTTTGCAGGAACAACAGTCCCGAACTGTTTTCCTTTTCATCTCTAGCACCTGCCTAGTGCCTAGAGTATTTTTTAAGGATTATTTAATTTATGTATTATTATTTTATTCTAACTTGCTGTAGGACACATACATTCAGATAGAGAGAGAAACTGAGAAAGCAAGCTGCCAGGTCTGGAGTTTGAACTGCAGTTGGTCATGTGGGAGTCCAGCACCTTAACCACCATGGCACCTACTGGCCCCTGCCTGGAATATTTCAGAAGCTACAATATGGTATTTGCATGAATTGGTCTCTAAACCCAGAGGTAATTAGAAATACGGGGAACTAAAGCATTACTTATTGTGTTGCAACAATTTTGAAATCCATGCTTAGATTTTAATTTTTTCTCTTTTAAAGAAATTTTGCCAGGGGGCCAGCAGGTAGCATGGTGGTCAAAGGTGCTGGACTCCCACAGGGTTGTCCTGAATCTGGTGGCTTGCTTTCTCACTTTTCCTCTCTGTTTGATCAAACTGGAAAACAGTAATAGTTAAATAAAATAATTCTTAAAAATTTTTTGCCAGAAGGAGTACATGGTTGCAGGAGAGCGAGCAAGTGAAGAAGTGCCCGCACGAGGGACCGTCAGCCCACACTTCACTCTTCTCTCCTCTCGGGACTTGGCACACGGACACACACACACACACACACACACGTCTGCCGAGTTTTTCAAGCTGCCGAGTCTGGGACTCAAAACTGCACAGCTGGCCACGTGGGATCCAGCCACCTAAACCACCATGCCACAGGCTAGCCCAGATGTTCCACCACACACATCTCCCGTGACCTTTTTGAAGACCCCTAGGGTACCACTGGATCTACGGTACCAACCATCTTCGGTAAAACCGAAGCTACCCACGTCACTCTGCTGCCTCATTCCCGACAGCCAACTGGCCGTAAACACGAAACCCGCAGTTTTCCTTTTTTTTGGAGAGGTTTCACTATAGGGCGCGTGCGCTCGCCAGACAGACAGAGAGAGACATAGAGACAGAAAGCGAGAAATCACCCCCCAGGGGGGATGGCCACGCCGCAATCCCTTCTCCTCCATTCTCCTCTCGGGATCTTGGGCACGCACGCACACGCGCCCGGCGTGAGTTTTAAGCCACCGGGTCCAGGACGCGAACTGCCGTCGACTACGTGGGAGTCCAGCGACATAGCCATTACACTAACTGCTAGTTCCACCCACTGTTTTCCTTGATGTTGGCCTTACATTCTGTGGGTCTGTGTTGCCCACCTCTTCAGTCAGGGCTTCTCAATGTCACCGCGACTGGTGACTGAGTGTGTGACCCTCTGAGGGAGTGTGGCAGTACACTGGCCTCTACTCAGATACAAGGAGCACGTCTCCCCTTCGTGACAACCGAAACGTGTCCCTGGACCTCGCCGCGCTCCGAGGGCCCACGCCCCTCCAGGTGAGGTCCGCTGAGCAAGAACGTCTCGCGCGTCCTCGCTGCCCCCAGCCCCGTCACGAGGGCCCCACTCACCCACGACCTGGGCTTCTCCCGCAGCACGAGCTGCAGGTCCTGGCAGGTCTTGACCCCGGTCTCCATGACTAAGACCTGCAGGTGCGGGGGCATGGAGATGAGGACCTGCTCCATCACCAGCTTGTCCAGGATCTGCTCCACGGAGTGCAGGTCGGGCCGCAGCCACAGGTGGCAGAGCTGCACCATCCTTCGCAGGTTCTCGGTGGGGCCCGCCTCCTCCGAGTACCTGAACGTTCTGAAGAGCAGGTGCCAGTTCTTGGAGTCGTCGCCGTCTTGCGTCCCAGGGCAGGTTCCTTGGGCGGAATCAGATGGTGATGGTGATGGCTCTGCCCCAGGAATGTCACAGGGCTCTTCGTGACCCAGGGAAAACGTGACGTCTGCAGCCATATTCGGTAGGAAACTGTCCACCTGGTCAGTGAGCAGGCTCTGGAGAAGCCCGTGTGAGACAGCCGGGGCTCTCCTCGGCGGCAGATTTACTGTTCTGGTACCTGCGGGGGAGAGTGAGCACCGTCAAGTCTTCCTCCTCCCACCCTGCCTAGCCTTCCTTCAACAGATCAGGACGCTCAGCTTAGTCTACAGCTGACTTTGCCCCGAACCACCTAACGCAAAGCCTGCATCTTATTTTACTGTTTAGGGTTTTGCCATCGGGTGCATGGGCTCACCAGAGACAGAGAGGAGGCAAGCGCTCCCGCCGCAGGAGGATCGCCACGCCACAGGCCAGTTGCTTTTCCTCCACTCTCCTCTCAGGATTGTGGGCATGCACGCACATTCCCAGTATGACGCTCAAGCCTCCCCGAGTCTGGGACTCGAACCGCAGTCGGCCATGTGGGAGCTCAGCACCTAACCACCACACTACCTGCCAGCCCCTACAAAGCCTATTTTATAAAAGTGTTGACGTCGCATGGAATTTATTAAATACTCTCCTGAAATGAAACACAGGCCCCGGCTGCCTGCGTACCTCGAGTACAAGTTCCCAAATGGAAGCCCAAGTCAAGCCCCCGAGCTGAAGACTGCCCGGCGTAGACCGAGCCCCCTCTCCTTCCAGAGCACACTCGTCTCTATGGTAACTGGTTCAACCATCCGAGTGGCCCCCTGCTCTGATCTCTTGCCTGTCACCCGGTTGGCCTCAAGTTTACATTCTAGATGCTGATTCCAGGGTGCAGAGGTGGGGCCGGGTTTCCATCTGGGACTCGGGGCAAGGTCGCCCTAGACTGTCAGCCCCACAGGACGGCGCGGGCAATGCCAGCCCTTCCATGTCCTCCCAAGACAAGAGGCGGAATCGAGGTGTATGATTACACAGGAAGGGTGGACGAAGGATTTGCAAGCTGAAACTGGTACTGCCTCATCGGGAATGTGAACCTAAGTGTGTCCACAACACGCATCCCCAACACGCTTCCCTGTCCGTCCCAGGATGCGTGTTTGCCCTAGGGACCAAGGGGCACAAAAGAACCCTGCGAGAACGGAGCTCCTGGGTGGCTATCCTGCCATGGTGGACCGGAACCCCTTCGAGCCCACAGCGCAGTGGCACCAGGAAAGGCGTGGTGCTAGCGACAGTGGGTCCAGTGCCGGGTCTCCATCTCCCAGAGAAGACCTCATTCCACGCTGCAGCTCCTCAGCAGCCCCTCCCCGCACGGCCCCCGGCAACTGCTAATCTGCTTTCCCGGCGGGTTTACCTGTTCTTAATCCCATTCCAGAAAACAGATTTAAGATCTAATGTCATTTTAAATTATTAGTAAGAGAAAGCTGATTTCAGGAGTTCCTGAACCTACCTTTAAAAGATGAGTCGTGTCTTCCCCCCCCACCCCACACCCTGACTTTGCCCCGAACCACCTAACGCAAAGCCTGCATCTTATTTTACTGTTTAGGGTTTTGCCATCGGGTGCATGGGCTCACCAGAGACAGAGAGGAGGCAAGCGCTCCCGCCGCAGGAGGATCGCCACGCCACAGGCCAGTTGCTTTTCCTCCACTCTCCTCTCAGGATTGTGGGCATGCACGCACATTCCCAGTATGACGCTCAAGCCTCCCCGAGTCTGGGACTCGAACCGCAGTCGGCCATGTGGGAGCTCAGCACCTAACCACCACACTACCTGCCAGCCCCTACAAAGCCTATTTTATAAAAGTGTTGACGTCGCATGGAATTTATTAAATACTCTCCTGAAATGAAACACAGGCCCCGGCTGCCTGCGTACCTCGAGTACAAGTTCCCAAATGGAAGCCCAAGTCAAGCCCCCGAGCTGAAGACTGCCCGGCGTAGACCGAGCCCCCTCTCCTTCCAGAGCACACTCGTCTCTATGGTAACTGGTTCAACCATCCGAGTGGCCCCCTGCTCTGATCTCTTGCCTGTCACCCGGTTGGCCTCAAGTTTACATTCTAGATGCTGATTCCAGGGTGCAGAGGTGGGGCCGGGTTTCCATCTGGGACTCGGGGCAAGGTCGCCCTAGACTGTCAGCCCCACAGGACGGCGCGGGCAATGCCAGCCCTTCCATGTCCTCCCAAGACAAGAGGCGGAATCGAGGTGTATGATTACACAGGAAGGGTGGACGAAGGATTTGCAAGCTGAAACTGGTACTGCCTCATCGGGAATGTGAACCTAAGTGTGTCCACAACACGCATCCCCAACACGCTTCCCTGTCCGTCCCAGGATGCGTGTTTGCCCTAGGGACCAAGGGGCACAAAAGAACCCTGCGAGAACGGAGCTCCTGGGTGGCTATCCTGCCATGGTGGACCGGAACCCCTTCGAGCCCACAGCGCAGTGGCACCAGGAAAGGCGTGGTGCTAGCGACAGTGGGTCCAGTGCCGGGTCTCCATCTCCCAGAGAAGACCTCATTCCACGCTGCAGCTCCTCAGCAGCCCCTCCCCGCACGGCCCCCGGCAACTGCTAATCTGCTTTCCCGGCGGGTTTACCTGTTCTTAATCCCATTCCAGAAAACAGATTTAAGATCTAATGTCATTTTAAATTATTAGTAAGAGAAAGCTGATTTCAGGAGTTCCTGAACCTACCTTTAAAAGATGAGTCGTGTCCCCTCCCCCCCCCAGCCCGAGCATCCACATCACAGGTGCTCCCCGTGGTAATCACGCAGGGCCCCGGTCACGTCACAGACGTCTGCAGGGCTGACTACCCGAGGTTTCAGGCTTCTGGGAATATACCCCAGTAAAGGGGGCTACAGTCAGCGAAGTCAGCGGGTGGAGCGAAAACCAGTGGGGCCCCTAGAAGCAGAGGGCAGGACGGTGGCTCCAGGGGCTGTCAGGGCAGGGCTGAAGCGCCAGTCAGCGGGGCTACCCGCTGTCTGCCGCGGGGACTCTAGTCCACGGGCAACCTGTGGGAGCGTGGATGCCGAGTCCTGCAGGTCATGCCCACGCTAAGGAGCCCAACTTCGACGTTCCGCGATGGATGTGTACCCCGCAAATACAATCACATTTGTCAGTTTCAAATGAATTTTTAAAAGATATGGGAAACGGCAGGCTTGGAGTTTGAGGAATTAAAATGGCTTCACCTTGGGACCAACAGTTGGCGTAATGGCTATGTCGCTAGATTCCCATGTAGTCGACCAAGGTTCGAGTCCCGGACTCGGTGGCTTAAACTCATGCCAGGTATGCATTTGCTATAGGTCACGTGCACTCACCCAAGACAGACAAAGAGAGGAACGTGAGAAAGCAACCCCAGGGGAACGGCCATGCCCTGCGGTCCCTTCCCGTCCATCCGCACCTGCGGACGTGGGGCACGCCAGGACGCGTGCATGCGCGTATTTTTCAAGCTGTTGGGTCGGACTCAGACTCGCACTGCAGTTAACCACGTGGGACCTAGCTGTCTTAACCGCCAGGCCATGGGCTGGCCTCTGGTCGGATTCTCTTATGCCCCGTTATTAAGTCAGACTCCTGAAAGCGTTCAAAGGTGCCCTGGGGGCAGGGTGCGAGGTGGAGGGACAAAGGCCAGCGCCCAGCGCGCCCAGGGCGGCGTTGGTGCTGGATGCCGGGGGAGTCGGACGCCCAGAGAGGGACACTTGGCTCCGAGTCCGAGGGCATAGGTGGGCCGCCGCTCCTTACTGCACGTTTGCTTTCACCCTGGAAAGAACCCGGCGGGGCCCCGCCTTCC